CGTGGTCCATGTGAAGGGACGTGACAACCTGATAGCGGACGCATTGTCCCGGAGAGGGAGCCCTGAACTTCCCCAGGTCACTGGCTAAGTGACCCCGCTCAGTTCAGTCTCGGAAGGGGGAGAGATGTGACGAAGTCGGGTTTTATTCACCTTGTTATGTTGCATGTGGGGCTTACTGTCCTATACTAACACTGTGCGTGCCTCAGTTTCCCTGTATGCTGCACCAATACCTCAAGGGTGGGAAGTGTGGGGGTGACTTTGCTGGGGCCCTGGGGCAGGGGAGGCAGCCCCGCTGTCTGCATTTGTGTAAGCTGAGACCCAGGAGGGGGATGAGACCAGGTGACACCTTTGGCCCAGGAAGGGAGACAAAGAGGAGGAGGAGCAAAGGGGGCTGTCGGAGATGGGGTGGCTGGAGGCTGGGGGTCTGTGTGGGGGGACTCAGAGAGGAGGAGCCCAGGGCGTCTGGCCCAGGACACCCCGAGATGGACTTGGCTGAAAGTCACTGATTTCTGTGCTGACAAGCTGTGCCCTATGCTGTGATCCTGTCGACGAATAAACCTTCTGTGTCCCCGTCTGAGTGCGGAGTTGGGGGGCAGGACCCCGCCTGGGTGGACTCGCTGCGGGAAGCGCACGGGGGGACGGGGATGCTGGATGCTCCGGGGTCAGACCAGGAAGGTGGTAGCTGGGGAAGCTCCTTGCCCCGGGACAGTCTGCTCCGAGAGAGGAGAATCCCCGAGTCCTGCCCAGCTCCGAGCGTCGCCCCGGGACACAGATGGGTTATTAGCCGATGGGAACCCAGCGTAGGACAGGGCTTGTTAGCACAGACATCAGGGACTTCCAGCGACGTCCATCAGGGGGGACACCAGGCCTGGTGCCCTGGGCTCTGCCCCCCGAGTCCCAACCGGGAGCCTGCCCGGTTCCAGCTGCCGGGCTCCAGACACCCCCATTGCCCCTCCTCCGGTCCTTGCCTTGCTCCCCTGGTCACATCCCCCTCCTGGGTCCCGGGTGACGAAGGGCACCAGCCATCGCCTACGTGCAGGCCATTGGAACAGCCTCACCTGTCCCCGAGGGTCTCAGCCAAAGTCACCCCCCAATTCCCACCACCCACCATTGGTGCAGCACACAGGGAAACTGAGGCACACACCATATTCATGCACAACAGACTGGCACACAACATAACAAGGGGCAAACCCACTTCGTCATGCCCTCAGGGCATAGGGGCTGGGCACACGGGGACTCCTCACCCAGCGCTGGGACACGGCCCCTCTGGGGGGGGGCTGGGCACACGGGGACTCCTCACCCGGCGCTGGGACACGGCCCCTCTGGGGCGGGGCGGGCGGTGAACTCCCAGCCAAGCTGCACACAGGTTCGAGACAGGAAGTGACGGAGACGCTGAAGGTGACCGAAAGGAGGGGCCTGAACAGGGAGCTGGCAGGACGCCTGGGTTCACGCAAGGCTCTGAGGACAGGGCACCCCCGCTGAGCCCCTCTCCCCACCCCGAAAGCTGTTTCCATCACGTCGTTCACACCGGCGGCTCCAGGCAGGAAACGCTGCGTCACGACATCGACCACTTCCCCCCCCAGCCGCGCCCGGCGCCCGACGCGGCCCCGGCCAGCCATGGGGCACCGCCCGGCCCGGCCCACGGGTCCTCGCCACCCCCCACAAGCCGCTGGTACGCCGGGCACCCTCCACTCCCAGCCTTAACGTGAGTAGCCCGTGGCCCATCCCCCTCTTCTGAGCCAGCACCCCCCCCAGAGGGGACAGGCCCTCATCCCACCCCCTGCAACCCTGAGTCACCTAGTCCCCTGTCCTGGGGCCGGATCAGCACCGGCGCCCCCCAGAGGGGACAAGCCCCATGTCCCATCCCCCCCAGCCAGTGCCAAGTCAGAGGCGGTGCCTCCCCCGCCCCCAGGAACCCCCCATTTATCTCCCCATCTCTCTCTCTCTCCGCAGCCAACTGCCGACGATGCCCCCGTCTCTGGCCACCAGCCCCCAGCTCCCGCCCCCTTCGCCGCCCCCCGCCCCGCCCTGCACCGCCTGCCTGGTGCCCATGGTGGCGCTGGCCGGGGTGGCCGGCCTCTTCGTGGTAATCTCGGCTCTGCTGGGCGAGCGGCTCTTCCGGGGGGCCCGGGCCCGGGGGGTGCCCAGCGTGTGGCGCCGGGGCGGGGCTCTGTGGATCGAGCCGGCGGCCCCGGCCCAGCCGGACAGAGGCCCCCAGGCGGAGACGGGCGACCTGTGGATCCCGCGCCCCCCGCCCAGCGCTGAGGACTGGTACCGGGGGCCCGCCGGCGGCTCGGGGAGCGGCACCTCCAGCGGCATCCACTCGGGGGCGCCAGAGAGCTCCGGCAGCAGCACGGCCTTGTGGGACGCCGAGGCGCCGGCCTGGGGAGCCCAGCCCCACGTCACCCTGCAGGACATCTCCGACTTCTTCCGGCGCGGAGGGGGGAGGGGGCCGTGAGCACCGGCGCGGAGGGGGGCATCAGGAGGCGACACCCCCCCCCCAAGAAGCAGGATTCACCCCATGGATGTTGGGGCAGAACTGAGATTTTGGGGGGCCACTTTGAAAATTGGGCGGGGGGGCCCACAAGCCCACTGAGACCCCCCCACACACACTGTCCCCTGGCATGGGGCTCTGTTTGCGCTCTCCACTGTTACTTCTCTCCTGCCAGGAGGCTCAGCTGGGCCTGCACCCCCTCGCCTCCCCCGCCCGCCATCGGGCACAGAGGGGCCGCTCTATGGGACACGGGGAATTTCTGCCAGCGGCCGGTTCGCGGGGCTATGGACGAGTGGCCAAAGCTCCTGGCTCCGTTAACACCCCCTGGGGGGTTCCGGTGTCCCCCCCCCCATTCACCCCCTGTGACGAAGTGGGAATGTTCTTAATGTTTTCGCTGAATAGTGTGTGTGTGCCTCAGTTTCCCCTTTGCATTTCTTAAGTCTCTAGGTGGTGGGATAAGGGGGTGTGATTGTTGCAGAGCCCTGGAGGGCAGGTGTGATGGTGTCTGCACAGAGAATGGCCGACACCCTGTCTCCTGGTAACTGATGGCCTGGGCCCCTCTCCTGCTGAAGGTGTTGGAGAACAAAGAGATCAGGTGACCTCCTGGCCCAGGGAAAGAGACAAAGGCCAGAGGAGGGGCTGGAGAGTTTCAGTTGGGAGCTGGCTGGGGAAACGGAGGGAGGCCCAGGGCCGGAGTCTGGGCTCCCCACCCCCCAAGATGGACCTGACTGAGGGGTCCTGGTTGTACCTACAAGCTGTGTTGTAGACCATGTTCCTGTCATCTAATAAACCTCTGTGTTACCGGCTGGCTGAGAGTCACGTCTGACTGCGAAGTGGGGGTGCAGGACCCTCTGGCTCTCCCAGGACCCCGCCGGGGCGGACTCGCTGTGGGAAGCGCACGGAGGGGCAGGGGATGAATGCTCCGGGGTCAGACCCATGAGGTGAAGCCGTGTGAACTCCTTGCCTTGGAGACAGTCTGCTCCCAGAGTGGAGACTTCCCCAGAGTCCTGCCCGGCTCCGTAGGGAGCCGTTTCCGAGCATCGCTCGGGGACTCCGTGACACGCCCCGTCTGGTTTGCCGCGGCTGCCCAGGACACGCCCCGGGGGCTCAGCGTTCGGTGGCCGGCGTGTGGCATGAACGGGCCAGGGCCGGCTCGCGCAATAAAGATTCTCGCTCTTGACTGGACGGCTAGGTCTGTGATCTGTGCCTGGATGCAAACACGGCCCCCTGGGGGGAGAGGCCCCCTGCCCCATTCCCTGTCCCCCCGAGCCAGCCAGTCCCTGCCGTGGGGCCGGATGGGAGCCGGCGCCCCCTAGATGGGACAGGCCCCATGCCCCATTCCCTGTCCCCCCGAGCCAGCCAGTTCCTGCCATGGGGCCAGATGGGAGCCAGCCCCATCTAGAGGGGACAAGCCCCCACCCCATTTCCTACCCCCCAAGCCAGCCAGGCCATGTCCTGGGGCCGGATGGGAGCTGGCGCCCCCTAGAGGAGACAGGCCCCACATCCCATAGCCTGTTCCAGAGCCCCCCTATTTCCTCTCCTAAATACCCCACCCCCACTCCCAGCCGCCTCCTCTGAATTTCTGGGCCCAAATCCCCCCCAGGCCCCTTTTCTGCCACCTCCCTTCCACCCACCCCCCAAATAGGGAACTGAGCAGCTAATCATTTCTCTCCCAGCTGCCGCAGGGCGCCACTTCCTTCCAGGTCTTTCACCATTTCCTCTCCTTCTCTCACCCTTTCTCGTTCACTCGTTCCTGCCCCGTCCTGCAGCAGAGGGGCTGCCACGTGCTGGTCCTGGGCTCAGACCCCCCACACACACACCCCAGCCCCCAGCCCCACCTGCAGCTACGAGCTGGCCCTGGCTCTCCAGCCACGAGGTACGTTGGGGGCAATTGGTGCGTGCGGTGGGATCAGCTGGAGAAGGAGCTCACCGTGTGGGACTGTGGGAGGAGGAATTAGGGTGGGGGGGTTAGGCAGGGGACTGGTAGTTGGCTACATAGCAATGGGCTGTGGGTCAGGAGTGAGGGGCACCGGCAGAGCTGGGGGGGGGGGCGGGGCTGGGCTGGCAGGGGGCTGCGGGTCGGGAGTGAGGGGCACCGGCAGAGCTGGGGGGGGGGGGGGGGCTGGGCTGGCAGGGGGCTGCGGGTCGGGAGTGAGGGGCACCGGCAGAGCTGGGGGGGGGGGGGGGGCTGGGCTGGCA